ACTAGTCCTCTGGCCAGGTCAGCTCTCAGACCAGACCGCTTCTGGGGTCAACATAAATAATAATAAGTCTCAACTCAAAATAGCCACCTGGGCATTAAAATCCATAAAATAAATTCTAGTCCTTCAGAGATTCAAGGCCAATGTTGTCAAGGTGAGGCTCCTGACTGGGCAAGGTTTACCTGAGTTAGTGCAGCGAGAATGTTCCTTCCCTTTCCTGGCTTAACTAAGAATACATCCCTAGTAGAAGCAGTCAGCCCTTTTTATCACACATGCTGGACTCTAATTGGCTTCTGCCTACTCCTGGCCCTTCTAGGTACCACAGGACCAACTCTGGTTCTGCCTGTAGCTGATCATGGGAGGCTTCTCTAGACATCCCCTGGAGATGTGAACTCCCTGCTCTTCCCTACCAGCAGGACACCTTCTTAGGGTGGGATGTGCCAAGGAGATGGGGCCTCTGACAGCAAGTAGTGAATGTCTAGTACACTCTGTCATCGGGAGGTTAGACACTTTTCTGTCTAGCGTACATGTATACTACGCCAGAGAAAATGGTCAGCAATGGAAAAGTTATTGTGACTTGCAATGGATGGGATGTGCTATGTTCTGCTTCCTGCCAGAAGAGAATTCCTGTGCCTGAAGTGCAAGTTAATGGATAAAATGGAAGAAAAGATTCATGTTCTTGAAGAATTATAGAGCCTGCACTGCATCAGAGAGGCAGAAAAGTTCTTGGACAACTGAATTATGCATCGCTACTACAGATCCAGCAAGGAAAGGAACAGGATGTGAGGGAACAGGACAGAATAGAAACTAGAGTGGCAGTTCATGGCCACTTGAGGAAAAAGCAAAGGGAAGCATTCAACATGACCAGAAGCAGAAGATGGGCAGTCTGGGACCATGCAAGGAAAGAGAAACAGGAGGCATTCTACTCATCTAACATATCCCATCATTATCAGGTACTCAGCATGGCAGCTGCAGATATGTTTCTGAAGATTTAGCCAGAGGAAACAAACAGGAGTCTGCATGGGCTACACTTGAGGATGGACATTCAGCCCAATCGACGAGGATGCCAAGCATGCCCAGGAGAAGATTTCTGACTGTCCAAAGAAGACAGACAATTCTCAATGGAGGCATGACATTAAGAAGAAGGGACAGAACCTTCTGCAAGTGACAAAAGGATGGTGTGCTGTCTTCCTGTAGCGAAGACAAGATAAGCAAGATTGGATGCAATCCAGAAGACAGTGGGCAAGGCTCCACCTGCTTATGTTATATATTGGTATGAATGAGAACTTCAAATGACACTTTGCAGATCTTCGAAGACCGCAGGGATCTCGGAAGGGAGCTGAAGGAGAGGAAAGTCCAGGTGCTCTTCTCTGTGATTCTTCCCGTTACAGAGCAAAATCAGACAGACGATACTGGAGTGAACTGTTGACTAGGTAAGTGGCTAGGTAAAAGTAGAGGATTTTATATATGTGGAACTCTGGGTCACCTTTTATGGGGAGAGGACAACATGTGTGTCACAGATCTGGTCGAGCTCACGCTGCTGGCAGCCCAGCAGACGGCTGTGCGGGGATCTGGATCCTCACGTGTTTTAAATCCCTAGAGTCTGAACAGAGTCCAGGCACTATCCCAGTCTTGGGGCCCCTAGGCACACACTCAGAGTGAAGATTCTCTGTCTAACACTCCCATCTGAGAGTTGCAAGCACAGGATCCAGCTGCCCAGCCCCTAGAACCAGCACTGACACCTCAGATTCTGCCTGCAGCTTAAGCACAGCCTCTGCCAGAATTTCACTGAATGTGTGAGCCTACTGGGTTACAGTTTAAGTCTCTTCGGAGCCATGTGGTAGATGTAGCCCAAAACAAACACACACACTTTGCACAGACATTTAACACATCATTGTGTTTTATTTACTCACCTGAGAAATACAAAGACCCCCACAAAAATAATAAACCCTACATGCAGTTCCCTCTCTCTAGTTCACCCTTCCTTTGGGGGACCATCTGAGTTCAGGTTGCCAGCCCTTCTCCCCCCTTACCTTCTGCCCAGCTCTTGCAGCAGCTTCCCTCATCTTAAGCTGATAAAAATAACCAGAGAGAGAGAGAGACCCAGTAGAGCAGCTTTTGCCCTTTATAACGTTGCAGTCTCCTCTGTCAGGTGACTCCATTTAGCTTCAACAAGTGATCCCAGACTCTTACCAGTTAACTTCATTGCTAGGCGATGGTCCCCTGATAAACCAGTTCTCCTGGGTGGGAGCCAGTCTTTTGTCTAGAGTTCAATATGTCTCCACATAAGTCAATATACCTCCTTTGTTAACCTTTTGGAATTCTAGGCCAACATGGAGGCAACAACACCACAAAAAGGTAAAGAACCCCATATCCAAAATGGAGTTTGCAGCTTGGTAAACATACATATATAGAATTCATAATCTCACACACAATTCATAAATTGTGCAGTCTTATTCCCCAAATCACCACAGTATGGTTTGGATTTAGTAGATGGGGAACCAAGGATGATGGATTATTCAGGAGAGCATTCAACTAGCAACAAAAGAGAAGAGTATTAAGGGGGAAGCAAAATGCAAATACAAAAACACATAACTCAGACTCGAGGTATCGTAAATGTAAAGGAGGTGTCAAGGGCTAAAGAAAAGAAATTCTTTAACTGTCTACATAGCTATGCTAGAAGCCTGGGAAATAAACAACAGGAATTAGAAATACTCATTTTTTAAAATAAATTTGACACAAATAGAAATCTGGTGAGATGAGTCACATGACTGGAATGTTACAATCACTGGATACACCTTATTGGGAAAAATAGAGCATGCAGCAGGGAGGGCAATGTCACTGTACATCAAAGATACTAATAGCAGCTTTTGAGTAATTCACAGTTCTGAACTGCAGGACCTGGAATGCTTCTGGCTTAGAGTTCCAAATGATAAAGCACAAAATCAGCTAAACATCTGTTTTAGACACCAAATCAGACTAGACAACAGGATGAACAGCTCTTTAAACATCTATTTTTAGTGTGTAGAAAGAAAAACTGAATTATCATGGGGGCTTTCAATCTGGGGGACATATGGTGGAGGATTCATGATACCACTTGTGATATGTCCTTGGAGCTTCTAAAAATCAGTGCTTTAAAAGTGCCAATTTTCCAAAGTTGAAAACAATTATGAACAAAACTGACTTGGAGGAGAAATTTAGACAAAACAATGTGAATTATAATTTGGAGTTGTTTAAGAAAACTATCAGATACACCAAAAAGCCCACAATTTGACAATTACAAAAGAAGACTTTTTTGATTTAAAATTATTGTAAAAAGCCATCCTAGATAAGAAGGGGAATGAATGCAGTAATAAAATTCTATCAATCAAACAAATGGAAAAGGGGGAAGTTGACAGCAATGACTATAAATTAGCAGTTATGAAATGCAAACAATTTGATAAGGGAAGCTAAAGATATTAGTGAAAAACTCCATGGCCACTAGGGTTAAGGACAATACAAAGGAATTTTAAAAAGATATCAGGAACAAAATCAGGAAATCCTAGCAATGGTACAGCTCTATTACTAGATAAAGATGGTAAAATTGTCAATGCTGATGCAGAAAATGGAGGAATGTTCAATAAATATTTCTGATCTGAATTCGAAAAGAAGCTGGATGACATATTCACATCCTACAGTGATAATGAAACATGTTTTATGTCAACAGTAACTAGGCAGAATGTTAAACAGCAGCTACTAAAGTTAAACATTGTAAATCTGCAGAATGGGATAGTTGTACCCAAAAGTTTAAGAAGAATTGGCTAAGGAAATCTCAGAGCCGTTGATGTTTAACAAATCCTGGAACACTGGGAAAGTTTCAGAGAAATGGAGAAGAGATAATGTGCCAATATTTAAAAAGGGTAAATGGGATAATCTAGGTAATGATAGGATGGTTAGCCTCACATTGATCTTGGGCAAGTTCCTGGGAAAGTCTTCAGGAAAATATTAAAGGATAGCAACAAAATTAATGCAAACCAATATCGTTTTATAGAACATAGATCTTGTCAAGCAAACTTTATATTGTCTTTTGATGAGATTTCACAAAATATTGATGAACCCTTATATATATATATATATATAGGCCAATTCTGAGAGGAGACCCTTCCAATATCTAATACATAGTAATGGGCAATTACACTCAACTATGAAAATCTGCTGCCTACCCATACAATCATAATGCATGTGCACACGCACGCATGCACGCACACAGAATTTCAACCAACCTGGCAAACAGGGAAAGAAAAGCAGTAAGCCCTGAGTCTCAAGGAAGTGAACATTATGAGAACCAGAAAATTCCCCAAGTATGATTTTTTGAGTTAGGAGCTAACAGGAAGAGACACTGACTGGATATATCTATTTTGAAAAAAAATTGAGTTTTCCTTAAGAAATGGCTGTTTGTAAATAGAAAGACTGTTGCAAAACAACACCTGAGATCACTGATTCAGTGTCCTCCAGGGTATTCCTATACCATACTGGCAATAAAAGAACTGCTATGGAAGACACTGGTTCTCCTGTTGGGGAAGCGTGCAGCATGCCTTACTAGAGCCAATGGCTTGCAACTCTAGAAGTATCAGAGTTCTCCACTCTCAGATTGGCACAGACACAGAAGTGAAGAACTGTCACAGCCTGTACCAGTGGGATATTGCATTTTGTTGCATTACTGGGGCAGCATAATGTGAAACAGTGTTAAATATATACACCACTAAAACACTACATGCCAAATTAATCCCTGATGTAAAGTCATAGTCTATGGTGCAGGATGAATTTGGCTCTAGATGCATTATGCTGTGCTCAGAAAGAGTCTGTATGAATATATTTCTATGGACAGTTTGTTCGGTTTATTAAAAGGAATAGCGCAGAAGATTGTTTCATCACAAGACTGATCTAATAAAAGCCTCTTCTTGACTCTTGCTATGCTTAAATGATCAAACTTTTGTAAAGAACATGTGACTGTATTTCTTTACCTGTTCTTTGACTGGAGTGTTGACATTCGATAGGCACTGCTGGCAGACAGCCAGAAAGGATTTCACAGTTTTCCTCAATACCAACAAGTCCTCCTGAATAAACATTAAAAAGGGATAATATTCTTTAAATATTAGCGCACAAAAACATAAGATCATGAGAATGGCCACACTGGGTCAGACCAATGGTCCATCAGTATCCTGTCTTCTGATAGTGGCTGGTGCCACATACTTCAGAGGAAATGAATGGAACAGGGCAATTACTGAGTGATCCATCCCCTGTCATCAAGTCCCTGCTTCTGGCAATGAGAGGTTTAGGGACACCCTGCTACCTATTAATTATATTGGGTGACCCCTGGGTCCTTGTGTTACGTGAAGGAGTAAATAACATTTCCTTATTCACTTTTTCCACGCCAGTCATGATTTTATAGCCCCTTATCATACCCACCTCAGTCATCTCTTTTCTAAGATGAACAGTCCCAGTCTTGTTAATGTCTCCTCATATGGAAGCTGTTCCACACCCCTATTAATTTTTGTTGCCCTTCTCTATACGTTTTTTCAATTATAATATAATTTTTTTGCGATGGGGTGACCAGAACTGCATGAAGTATTCCAGGTGTGGATGTCCCATGGATTTATATAGTTGCATTATGGTATTTTTCTGTTTTATTAACTATCCCTTTCCTAGTGTTTGCTAACATTCAGGCTTCCTGCCTCTGATTATTTAAAAAAACTTTTTGCATTAAGTTTTTGGGTCTTTTGGTAGTTGCCCTTCAAATTCCTTTTTGGATTGCCTAATTATATTTTTACACTTGACTTGCCAGAATTTATACTCCTTTCTATTTTCCTCACTGGCATTTGACTTCCAATTTTTAAAGGATGTCTTTTTGCCTCTAACCACCTCTTTTCCTCCTGCTTAATGATGGTGGAATTTTTCTGGTCCTCTTACTGTTTTTTTTTATTTTCAATATTTAATTTGAACCTCTATTGTGGTGTTTTTAAATAATTTCCATGCAGCTTGCAGGCATTTCACTCCTTTGAGTGTTCCTATTAATTTCTATTTAAACTAGCTTCCCAATTTTTGTGTAGTTCCTGTTTTTGAAGCTAAATGCTATTATGGTGGTTTTCTTTGGTATTTTCCCCTATTTATTAATAATATATTAAGCCCGGATTCCCAATCTATTAATAATAGATTGCCAGGACAAGCAAAATAAAAGAGGTGACAAATAATTTCACACATTTTCAAGCCTACAGCTCTCCAAGCAAAAATGGAGACGCAATGAAAAGAAAAACAAGGAGCTCTCTGGAGAGGCACTGTCTGTGTTTCACCTAGCACAATTGGCACTTTGCAAAGGGGTCTAGGTACCACTCTGATAATAAACAATAATAAGAATATACTATCATCACACCCAAGATATTTTTAAAATACAGATACCAGTTACAATTCCTTGAATTTTAAATTTGGATTTGAATTTTAAAAGTTTTCAAACCAAAATTTAAGACAACAAAGTAAACCTACATGGTATTTATCTAGAACTCGGTACCAGGATAATTCAACATGAAAAGAAAACTCTGTTGAACATCAATAAACATGCATAAAGTCCAACAACATCACAAGGTCCTAATAATCTGCAGAGAGGGGAGCTAGAAAGGCAAGCTTGCTTTGTAGAAAAACCTGCAGACGTACTAGTCAGGGAACAGGAAGTAATGACTTGGGGACCAGAGAGAAAGAGGTTTGACGGACTGGAGAAAGGAGGATTCACTGGGAATAAATGGTGCATTGGGAAGCGTGTGGGTAACTGATGGATCTGGGGGACATCTGATGGAATTATAGATTTGGGTGATGGGAAAAACGGTTACCTACCTTTCCATAACTGTTGGTCTTCAAGATGTGTGTTGCATATGTCCATTCCATTGTAGGTATGTGCATACCTCATGCACAGTTGTCACAGGGTTTTCACTCAGCAGTACCTGTCAGGGCAGCATGAGTGCCCCCTGCCTTGCGCCAGTGCATGTAGTTATAAAGGGCCCCATTGCCCCCAACCCTCCTCAGTTCCTTCCTCCTGGAGAGACTCCAATGGCGAGGGGAAGGAGGGTGGATGGTGGAATGGACATGTGCAACACTCCCTGAACAACAGTATTTATGGAAAGTAAGGTATCTGTTTTTAATTCTTCAAAAGTGATGCACATGTCCATTCCACCTTAGGTGACATACAGTTCGAGATGGAGGTAGGTTCGGCGTCTACTTGAACAGGGATTGTAGGACCACCAGTTCATATCTGGCATCATCTTTAGACTGAGGAGCGATGGCATAGCGGGAAGTAAATGTGTGGATCGAAGACCAGGTTGCCTCCTTACAAATGTACAGGATGGACATCTGGGCCAGAAAGCCAGCAGAAGTTGCCTCTGATTTAGTTGAACGAGCCCCCACTTTTGATGGAGGTTCTGTACCCGCCAAATGATAGCATAGATGAATACAGCCTGTAATCCAGAAGGAAATTCTTTGAGTAGACACTGAGTGGCCCTTTATTCTGTCTGAAATTGCCATGAATAACTACAAGGCTGATCTGAATGGTTAGTCTGATCCAGATAAAAGTCCAAAGCCCTTCTAAGATCAAGAGAATGCAGTTTCTCTTCACATCTACTTGAATGACGCTTTGGGACAAAGGTTGGTAAGTTAATTTCTTGATTAATGTGAAAACCAGAAATCCACGTAGTCAGGAGCTTAAGGTGAGGCCAAAGGAAGACTTTATCATTGAAGAAAACTGTGTAGGAAGGTTCTGACACAGCTCTCCTATTCTCCTGGCCAAGGTAACTGAGACCAAGAAAGCCACTTTCATAGATAGATGTAATAGGGAACAAGTCGCCATCAACTTTGTTAGAATGAAATTCAAACTCCACTATGGAACAAGGCTGTGAACCTGTGGGTATAATCCGTCTAAACCCTTTAGAAATCTAACGGACAACAGTTAGAAAAGACTGATCTGTTATTCACTAGAGAGTGGAAAGCTGACATTCAGGCTTCCTGCCTCTGATTATTTAAAAAAACTTTTTGCATTAGTTTTTGGGTCTTTTGGTAGTTGCCCTTCAAATTCCTTTTTGGATTGCCTAATTATATTTTTACACTTGACTTGCCAGAATTTATACTCCTTTCTATTTTCCTCACTGGCATTTGACCTCCAATTTTTAAAGGATGTCTTCAATTCAAGTGAATTTTGACGGACTACTGAAAAGCCCCGGTTGTTTCAGGAACAGGACATAGTCTAGGATATGAGGAATCCAAGCTTGTGCTGGGTGGATGTCTCTTTGTATAGACCGAATGGAGAATCTCTTCCATTTTGCAAGGTAAGTAGACCTGTAGACTGGGATAGAGAAGGTGATTGTTGTCCTGGGAGATCATGTCCAGATCTCTCGGGGGCAGCATAGGGGCTTTGACCGATATCGCTAGTAGAGATTAAAACGAATGTTGGTGAAGCCATGCTGGGGCTATTAGTATGATGTGAGCTCCATCTTGTTTGATCTTGGACAAGACCTTTGGCAGGAACAGAACTGGAGGGAAGACATACAGCAGGCTTTTTGACCAATTCAGGAGGAAAATAGCCTGGGGTCATTGTCAGATGTTACCCCCACAAAAAAAGATGACATTTCTTGTTTTCTTTCACTGCAAATAAGTCTACTCAGGGAGTACCACACCATTGGAAAATAGTGTTGGACACATCTGGCTGAAGGGAGTGGACTGCAAACAATCTGCTCAGGAGGTTTACCAGGGTGTTTTGAACCCCCGGAAGGAAGGCTGCTTTGCGGCTGATGGACCTGGCTATGCAAAAGTTGCAAAATGAGATTGCCTCTTGACATAACTTTGTCAAATGGGCTTCCCTGCTGCCTGTTTACATAAAATGTATATGTTGTGTTGTCTGTGAGTAATGACAGACTCTGTGGGAGGAATGCCATAGAAGCCAAAAGGACTGCTCAGAGTTCTTTGATATTTATATGGAGAGCGATATCCTGGAACAACCAAACCCCATGAGTCTGAGGAGGGCCTAAATGAGCTCCCCAAACTAGATCCAATGCATCTGTGACTAAAGTAAGTGTCCACTGAGGAGCAAAGGGAACTTCTCTGTAGAGAGGCGAATCCTGTGCCCCTCTTCCTTCTGTCCCGATGACCTTACAAACCAATCAGGGATGCTTCAGGTTGATACAATCACCAGTGCACTTTATTTGTAGCCATTTCCCACCACCACCTTACTATCTATATACAGGTTTGTTTCACAGCCAGGCTTTACAAACAGCAGACCAGGGCCACCCATCCCATTCTGCCTCTCCCTTTCTCCCCCTCCCCAGCCTTTTTATAGCCCCTGTCTAATTAGGCTGGCAGCTGTTGCTAGTTGCCAGACAGGCACAGGCCTATTCAGCCAGCTCCAATCTACTCCCCTTAATCGGGGCTGGCATGGCAGGGGACTGATTAAGCACTCCTTACCCAGCACCCTGTTACACACCTCCCCCATTAGGTAACCGCTAGGTTTGTTCTCCCCTGTCCTCTCCTCCCTCTACCGCTGGGGTCACTTCGGGGGAGTCTCGCTTCCCACTGGGCGATCCCCGGGGTTGTCTTTGCGGCATTTGTTCATCCCCCACCCGCAGACCGTACACTGTGTAGGGGGTGGATGGCTCCACAGCACCGCTGCCACCCACAGGTTGTCCACACCAATTGCACTCCTAGGTTTGGACTCCCTGCTTCTCCCCCTTTCCCTGCAGCAGGGGATTGGGGTCAGTCCAAATTTCCCCCAGGACACCCAGGGCCTCAGGTTCTTCTAACCTGTCCAGTGGGACTGGGGTCCCTTTGCCTGGGGGATGCATTTTGGGGCACTCTTTTGGACTCCTTTCCTCTACTTCCTTTTCTTCCTGATTTGGGCTCTGTTGTCTATGGTTCTTCTCCATTCCTCCCCGAGAACCTTGGTCCTCCCCCTTACTTGGGTTGGTTAGTGTAGGGAGCTCCACTCCTTTCCTCGGGGTTCCTCTCTTTTTCCCTACTGTGGGTCATCTCCCACCTCCTCCTTTCCCTTTTGGAAAGGGGTCCCAGTCCGTGCCCAATACCACCG